AAAAAAAAAAAAAAAAAACGAAAGAACAGAGTAGAAAAAAGTCTCAAGAAAAATCAACCCCACCACTTGTTTCCTCTCTACATTTTTTTTTTTTTCAACTCGAAAAGAATACAGGTAAAAGATACGGTTTACATGAACATCTTCCTCTATATAGTTTTTAACCTTTGTTTATTTATATATTTAGAAACGCATACTAATCAATTTCAATAATTAATAATAACAAAAAATAAAACTCTAAAATCATCTTAATAACTCTGTAAAGATTTTATACGAATTAATTAACAGTTGCTCGAAATTTAATTGTTGGTCGCGCGATAATTCCTTCGTTATATATGTTTTATGTTTTTCATTTAAATCGAACAGATAACTAACGAAAAATTAACTATATAAGATAGAATATGAAAGGATTGCTGGAAAAGTCAGATGTAAATCACGAAAGATAAATCTATCTCATCGTGGAAAGTGGACTTACGTATGATAAGTAGCAAATTACATGATAGTATGGATGCGCATGAGTATTTTTAAATACAGAGTCCTTTCTCTCCCTCCCCCCCTCTTTCTCTCTCTCTCTCTAAATGATAGACCCTTTTTTCTTTCTCTCTCTCTTTCTCTTGGTACCGAGAATATAGCCGTTCGAATTATGAAATCGTTACATCGTGCGAACGACTGATGCAGAAACGTGCAGCCATCGAACATCCTATCGGAACATTCTCAAAGGTACATTGGTTCAAACTAAAGAAAAACTTTAAATGCTTACTTTCAAACAGGGTAACCTGGCCATTCACCAACTACGAAAGGACAACGACCCTTCCACATCTTTTGCTTTGTCGTTCATCCGAGTTCGAAGTTCGAAGAACGGTAAATGGTGATTAAATCAGTTAATCGATTAAGGGAGACAAGATTCAGGTCGAACCTGATGATCTCTGAATCCGGATTTATTCTGATCAAAGATCGAGATCGAGATCGATCATGAAAAAAATCATTGGCCGAATCGTCGTATCAACTACCGGGCATACACGGAATGCGAATGGGTTTGGTGCGAAAGGACGGAATAAAAGGGTAAAATGTCAGCGCGACTATATATTACTACTACCTACGAAAGAGCAAATGTATCCTATTAACGATTTAGAGATCGTATTGTTTGCCCGTGTGCCCTTAAAAGAACGAAATCTCATCCATCGTAACGACGTTGGCCTTTGAATCGCGTGCCAAACGGATGGCGATAAATCCAACCATCTCCACGGTCGAGAGAAAATAATCGCAAACGAATACGTGAGCGTATGAGCGCACGTCTCTTGAGAGTAATTCATCGGGAATAGTGATCGCTCCATGTATATCCTAAGAGACATATACAATGTAGTATGTTCAATGTGAGATTTTTTTTATCCCACCTTAAAAAATATTCTTTAATACATTACATAATACTCGAAGAGAACAATTTAAACTGTCAAATAATCACTTATGCGATTCAATTAATTTTTCGAATACTCTTAAATTTTGACTCAATTTTTTCTCATCTTTTATTTACTATTTTATTTTATTTGATTAATGATATTTATTATAATTAAATAATTCTTATTTTATATATATTTTATTGCTTATGAATTTCTTTTGTGATTTATTAAAAATTTACAAAATTTACAAAAATTTAATATTATATATATTATATAAATAATAAATTAATTTAATTCAAAACTGAAAAAATGATGATTATAAAAAATGATATGATTGAAAAATAAAATATTACATAAATTTTTGTGAAATATACTTTACAATACTTTACAAAAGATAATATTAAAAAAAAAAAAATGAGACCTAAACACGAGATTATTCAAAGAATGAACACAAGATTTGTGATCTTCACGACTTCTGTGACAATCGATGATCAGAGAAGGGGGAAAAAAGCATCGTCCTTGCATATAGCTAGTATCGGGTATATAAAAGCTGGCAAAGTGAAGGAACGCAGATGTCAGTGGTTTCTAAAATCCACCGATATCGTCGCGAGTGCTAAGGGGGATGCCATTTAAAGTGTTATCGAGAGTGATTGATCTATGGTGATGATGATCACTTGGAAAATTGTGCCTCAGTCGCTGGTATGTATCCAATTCGATTCAAAATAATTCCTTACTTTGAAATTTGAAATTGTATCAGGATATTGTCAAGCTTTCCTCCTATATAAATACGCGCGTTTATATATATAATTCATGATTAGGGTAACAAGTTTAAGACATTAGTTTACTTTTATATGAAGCGAAATAAATAAAATTTAAATTAAAAAAGATCATATCTTTAATTAAAAAATGTTGTAATTATTAATTCGAATCAATCAAATGAAAACGAATTAAATATAAATATTTTCATATTTTCGATACGATGAAGAGGATAACAAATTATAAGATCGTATTGTTTGTTCTCATCGGTTAAGAAGTCATTAATTGCTCAAAGTCAGAATTATTTCAGACGAATAACTATTTATTTTGTATAGAAAAAAAAGATTAATTTTCATAAAATGTATACATATGATCATCTGAAAAGAAATATCTATATTATTGTGATTTGTGTAATATGCGCCCAACGTTTTCTGAAAATTGTTTTTGTTAATTATATTTTATCCCATTTCTTACTAATCACTTTGTAAATGGATTCTCCAGATTTTCTGGCTAATGATTCTTGGCACGTGGCATTGCACTGGTGAAAAGTTATCTCATTTCTTACTAATC